ATATAATTGAGTATGCGGATGCCCTGGAGTCGCAGGGGAGCCAGAGCTGCATCCACACACTTCATGAAAGTGCGGGGTGAGAGTGCAAGGCCGAAAGGAAGAACCCGGTATTGGTAAGCTTTGCCCCCGAAAGCAAACCTCAGGAACTTCCTGTGTCTGGGAAGGATGGAGACGTGGAAGTATGCGTCTTTTAGATCGATCGTGACAAACCAGTCTTTGGACCTGATCTGAGACACGACTTGTTTGAGTGTGAGCATCCTGAACTTCAGTTGCATGACTGAGCGGTTTAACTGACGCAGATCTAAAATCGGACGCAACCCTCCATCCTTCTTTGGAACTATAAAGTACCGGCTGTAGAACCCGAACTCTCTTTCGTGAGGAGGGACCACCTCGATGGCCTCCTTCCTCAAGAGTATTCACTTCTTGTTCTATTACCAGAACCTGCTCGGGGCCCACCAGGGTGGAAAGGACCCCGTTGAAAGGAGGCAGAGGAGACTGGATTCTGTAGCCCCTGTTGGAGACCAAACTGGATTCTGTAGCCCCTCTCTACAGTTTGTAGGACCCACTGAGACAAATTTGGCAGTAGTTTCCATGCTGTAAAATAGTCTACTAAGGGAGTCTCTCGAGACTGACCTCTGGTGTAATCAGAGCAGCTAGCTGAAGCGGTGCACCGGCAGGGGACGGCCGAACTAGCTGCTCTAGAGAGCTCCGTAGAGGTAGCAAGCCTCTTAGTACCGCAACGTTTCCGGGCAGAATAGTTCTTAGATCTGGCTTAGGCTTTGAAGCCCACCGACCCAGAGCGCCGTTTAGACCCCTGGTCCCGACGCGGAGAGCGCGAGAGGCGACGCTCTGTTTTTGGGCATCCCTGTACGAGGAGCTGGTACGCGGAAGGCTGCTCCCGCCCGGCAGCCCCCAGAGCTGGAGAGCGGCGAGGGATGAACCGCTGAAACGCAGCCGCTTGTTTACGAGCCTTCTGGTACCTGTCGACAACAGAGTTGACGGCGTCGCCGAACAGGCCAGAAGGCGCAAGCGGGGCATTGAGGAGGAATACCCTGTCCTTCTCCCTCATATCGGACAGGGTCAACCACAGATGCCTCTCCGCTGCCACCATAGCTACCATAGACCGACCAATAGCGCGGGCGGTCTCCTTGGTGGAGATAGAGGTCAGCGGTTCTCCTAAGCTCTGTAATATTCTCAGAATTAATCTACTCGCCTTCATCCAGCTCTTTAAGCAGGTCGGCTTGGTACGCCTGTACCGCCACCATGGTGTTCAGACGTGCACCAGCCTGA